TGTTTGCTTTCTGGTGAGTTATTATCTTGTCAGAGGCTCAAGGGAAGCAAACGGGTAGGAGGAGTCAGAAGGGAGATGAGTCGGGATGGGAAAACAAGGAGAAGCAGGAGGAGAAAGGCATAGAGGGAGGAATATGGATGCATGAGTGGGACCCCAGGCACAGCTTGGCTGTCGTGTTGGGTTTGCCTTGGTGCTCAGTGTCAGACCAGGATCTCACCTCTGTGGCTCCTCCACTGCTGTGACAGCCAAGGTTCCCCTTCCCTGAGGTTTTTTCTATGGAGATCTGCAGGGCAAGTCCTAAACATTGCATGGTGGTCCATGAGAGGCTGAGCACAAGGATTCAGGCTCTGGTTTTATGTCTCCCTGGCTTGCACTGGGTTAGTTCATCATCCTTGGCTGATGAGCAAGGATTGTGCTTGTGCCTCGTCCGTGGCTGTTCCATTTCTGGCCTGTATTATATTATTAGTATTAATAATAATAATGATGGGTGCTGGCTGTGCTGGTTTTCTAGCTCCTGAGGAGAAGAGAGAGCTCTCCATTAATTCCTGCAATATTTCAGCTCCTAATTGTGCTCAAGCAGAGACAGCCTTGAAAGTTCCCACCATCAGTTCAGCCAGAGCAGGGCTGGTACCTCTGGGGGAGATCCTGGAGCTGTGGGGCCTTGGTCCAGCCCTGGTCTGAGCATCTTTGTGCTCCAGGTGTTTCCAGGGTGTGATCCTGCAGAGTAAAGCAGTTTTACAGGTCTGGCTTTCCTGCAAAGCTCCTTGTGCAGGAGAGGGTGGGGGGACACGGATGGTGTCCCAGTCACTTGGAATCACCCACTTCAGTGATGCTCTCAAGACAGGGATTCTTCCTGTCATCTCAATCTTTGGGATGCTGTAGCTGGAACTAAGGAAGCAGGATGTGGTCAGAGCCTCTGGCAGGGATGATATTCCTAATGCTACCATTATCTAAGCATGGTTGTGCACAGGGCAAAAGCAGGTGTTAACTCTAGCTCAGAGCATCCCGTTCTGGTCCAGGACAGGCTCTCTTTGGCTGTAGCCAAGATCCCATGGATGCCAAACCCTGAGCCCCTGAATTTTGTGCTCTGCCTCTCCACGGGCCAATTACCTTGCGTGTACCTCAGACTTCAGCACAACACAGGCACAGAGGAGCCCTTCATCCCCCAATTTCCTGAGCTTTTGCAGGCAGAAAGCTGACCCTTGCAGTTACTTTAATGAAGTCTTTAGCTGGGGACCGAAACACACTCGAGCTGCTTTGCTCCCAGATCAAACCGCGGACGCACGTTACGGCTCGACTGTGGCAAGAGCTAATTCTTGCCGTGTGCAAACCAGCTCTGGAACTCAGGAAAAGGCCTTTGGTTAGTCGGGAAGCAGTGTTATCTGAGCCTTTGCACAACCCAGAGTCAGATTTGTGCGTGGAGCATCTGAAGGCCACCGGCTGTGTCGTTACTTTATCAGCAGGCAGCGCTGTGCTACAGAGAAGCTGATTCTAGGTCAGCCATAAAAGGGATCTTTTTTTTTCCCCCATCTCTCCCTTTTTGTTTATTTTTTTTTTTTTTTTTTTTTTTTTTTTTTTTTTTTTTTTTTTTTTTTTTTTTTTTTTTTTTTTTTTTTTTTTTTTTTTTTTTTTTTTTTTTTTTTTTTTTTTTTTTTTTTTTTTTTTTTTTTTTTTTTTTTTTTTTTTTTTTTTTTTTTTTTTTTTTTTTTTTTTTTTTTTTTTTTTTTTTTTTTTTTTTTTTTTTTTTTTTTTTTTTTTTTTTTTTTTTTTTTTTTTTTTTTTTTTTTTTTTTTTTTTTTTTTTTTTTTTTTTTTTTTTTTTTTTTTTTTTTTTTTTTTTTTTTTTTTTTTTTTTTTTTTTTTTTTTTTTTTTTTTTTTTTTTTTTTTTTTTTTTTTTTTTTTTTTTTTTTTTTTTTTTTTTTTTTTTTTTTTTTTTTTTTTTTTTTTTTTTTTTTTTTTTTTTTTTTTTTTTTTTTTTTTTTTTTTTTTTTTTTTTTTTTTTTTTTTTTTTTTTTTTTTTTTTTTTTTTTTTTTTTTTTTTTTTTTTTTTTTTTTTTTTTTTTTTTTTTTTTTTTTTTTTTTTTTTTTTTTTTTTTTTTTTTTTTTTTTTTTTTTTTTTTTTTTTTTTTTTTTTTTTTTTTTTTTTTTTTTTTTTTTTTTTTTTTTTTTTTTTTTTTTTTTTTTTTTTTTTTTTTTTTTTTTTTTTTTTTTTTTTTTTTTTTTTTTTTTTTTTTTTTTTTTTTTTTTTTTTTTTTTTTTTTTTTTTTTTTTTTTTTTTTTTTTTTTTTTTTTTTTTTTTTTTTTTTTTTTTTTTTTTTGCAGTGCTGCAGGGCCGCTGGATGTAGCACTGTAATTTGTGTGTCTCCAAAGGATATTGATTTTGGGGTGACGCCTTCATATCTCACCCTTCAGTTGTGCTAAGTACTGATGAGCTCAGCGGTTTGGACTCGGGTGGGAATTTCGACACAGGGCTGAGGGCGCGGGTGGATGTCAGCAATTCCTTAATGGGAAAACTAAGTTGGCTCCTTTCTGAAGCTTACAGAGTGGTATGAGGCTGCTTTCCCATTTAGGTCAGCCTGGGATGGTGGGTTGCATCCAGGTGTGTGCACAGGGTCCTCAGTTCAGGGAGCAGCAGATGTGCAGAGTCCTGGGGATGCTGTGCACAGTCCTGAGGATGCTGTGCAGAGTCCTGGAGATGCTGTGCAGAGTCCTGAGGATGCTGTGCACAGTCCTGGGGATGCTGTGCAGAGTCCTGGAGATGCTGTGCAGAGTCCTGAGGATGCTGTGCACAGTCCTGGGGATGCTGTGCAGAGTCCTGAGGATGCTGTGCACAGTCCTGGGGATGCTGTGCAGAGTCCTGAGGATGCTGTGCACAGTCCTGGGGATGCTGTGCACAGTCCTGAGGATGCTGTGCAGAGTCCTGGGGATGCTGTGCAGAGTCCTGAGGATGCTGTGCACAGTCCTGGGGATGCTGTGCACAGTCCTGAGGATGCTGTGCAGAGTCCTGGGGATGCTGTGCAGAGTCCTGAGGATGCTGTGCACAGTCCTGGGGATGCTGTGCACAGTCCTGAGGATGCTGTGCAGAGTCCTGGAGATGCTGTGCAGAGTCCTGAGGATGCTGTGCACAGTCCTGGGGATGCTGTGCAGAGTTCTGAGGATGCTGTGCCGAGTCCTGAGGATGGTGTGAACAGGCCTGAGGCAGCTGTGGAGGGTTCTGAGGATGCTGTGCAGAGTCCTGAGGATGCTGTGCACAGTCCTGGGGATGCTGTGCAGAGTCCTGAGGATGCTGTGCAGAGTTCTGAGGATGTTGTGCAGAGTTCTGGGGATGTCGTGCAGTGGTGCCAGCTGTGAGGTCTGGTGCAAGCCCCGAGAGCCAAGGTGGGCTTTCATCACAGCTCAGCATATTTGCCCTGGTTTCAGTTGACAACAATAGCACCTGGGATTGCAGCAGCAGGACCCTGCCAGATGTCCTGGGTGCTCTGTCAGGGCGTTACAGAAATGCCATCAGCGCTGGCTCAGATCCCCACATGTTTTCCATGGTGGGTGGTGGAGTCTGGCCACACTCTTCCTGGTCTGCAGGAAGAGATGCTATAACAGTATCAGCTGGTGGGATGCAGGCAGTGTGTGCCCGCCGGGAGCCTCCCACGTGTGTGTTTTGCATGCATTTGTTAGGAGCGAGATGCACACGGTTGACCGGTCGAGCGCGGCGAGTCGTGGCCCATCAGGTCACACCAGCACAGAGATGGCAGTGGCCAAGTGGGAAGTGAGGGCTGACTGAGCTCTTTGCATCCCCCAGGGACCAGAGACCTGTGCTTGGCCTCTCTGCCATTGGCACTCGCTCCCAGAAACAGCTGTCCGGAGCTAATTTATTTCCTAATGCTGCAGCAATGTTAATTTATAAATTACACTGGTAATTCGAGCTATTATTAATTTCAGATGGTGTAGGGCAAGCCTAATTAAAATATGACACCAATTGCCACACATATGTACCAAGGACTACCGTTTAAAATTTATAGGAATATTAAGTGTGACACTGGGCTTGGAGATGCTCCGTGCAGTAATTACAGCATCCTGGCTGCAGGAGATCCCGTGCAGAGATGTAAACAAAAGGAAGGGAGAAGTTGTCTCCGTTTGGGGCTGTGAAAAAGTCTCTTGTGCTGTTCATTTGGGGAGAAAACCAGGAGATTCTTGTGGCCCGACACCTGCACTTGGCCAGCCAAGCACTGTGGGTTTCCAGGACTGTGTCAAAACAAAGAGGATTCCTGCAGGGAAGGGGGATAGAAAGATATCAAAGTGAAGGAAATGTTACTGATTGCATCTTTCTGGCTTTGAGTGAAACCAGGAGCTGCACTGCAGCCTGGATGGGGAGGAGAGGGACAACAGAAATGAGTCTCAGGTGGCACAGGGCTAAAGTGTTTCAGCTAAAGGGAGATGTTGGCACACAGCTAATGGGAATAAACTGGCTGTGAATTAACTGAAGCTGAAAAATTAGTGTCTATGTAGAGCCAGGTAAGCCTGGCAGTGCCTCCCAGCAGGAGGGATGCTCAGATGCCAAGGAGAGATGATCTCAGGTCCTTCTAGCAGGGTGCAGGTTTGGCAAGGACCATTTTGCCCACCCTGCACACCTTAGGGATGTTATCTACCGCAAGTGATGCTCTCAGGAGGGTTGAGGCCACCACAGAGGTCCAGTGCTTGCAGACACCTCTCTGGCAGGAGTTTTCTTGTAATAGTGGGCATGGACATGCTGGGCTGGGGCCTACAGAATCAGAGGAATGGTGGGGACAGACACATGGACGTGCTGGGCTGGGGCCTACAGAATCAGAGAATTTTAAGGGGTTAGAGTGGACCTTAAAGATCAGATGATCTCCTCCTGCCATGGACAGGGACACTTCCCACTTGCAGAATGGTGTCCTGGCACAGAGTGACACAGTCACAGATGATGACCAGCCAGTTTGCTGTTCTTTCCTATCACTCATCCCTCTCTCCCTCTGCCCCTGCAGCCGTGGGATTCATCAGTGAGGATGAGTACCTGGAGATCACGGGCATCACGCGGGAGCAGTCGGGCGAGTACGAGTGCAGTGCCTCCAACGAAGTGTCGGCGCCTGTCGTCCGGCGAGTCAAAGTCACTGTCAACTGTGAGTAGCTGGGAGCTGTCAGGGGCTGGGACAGGGCTGAGTGGTGGGTAGTGGGGTGCACACAGCCCTGGGGCCCCAGAGTGAGCCAGACAGTAGCAGTTTTTCTGAGCAGGTGGTGTTTTGCCCTATTTTCCCCTTCTTTTCAAGCTCCGTTTTTTTCCCACCACCTCCTCCTCAGCTGTCTCCATCAGCCTGGGTTTTCCACCCATGGAGAGATGCTGTGCTGATAACCTCCAGGGAGAGGAGAGAAGTGAGCAGTAAATAGAAATTTTGTTTCCCCACTAGAAAAAAATCGAGGGGAAGAAGAAAGCAGCACATTTCATGCTTAGACAGAGGTAAAAACCCTCCTAAACACCTCTCTGGTCACCCCATTAGCTGCACAGTGGCACATGTGTTGCCCAAGAGCTGGGGGACTCCAGTTTGAGGAAGAGGACCCCCAAAAACCCTGGACAGCAGCACAGACAGACAGGAGCTGGCTGTGGGCTCAGAGATTTTGGCTCCTTCCTAAGTGCAGGGAAAAAAAAGGGAGCTTGAGGATCAAGGGAAAGGGATAGGATGCCCCAAGGGTGTTGATCACAGGTTTCCCATCTTCCCACAGACCCACCATACATCTCGGATGCAAAGAGCACTGGGGTGCCAGTGGGGCAGAAGGGGATCCTGCTGTGTGAAGCCTCTGCTGTCCCTTCTGCTGACTTCCAGTGGTACAAAGATGACAAGCGGTAAGAGCCTGGGGGGGCAAAACAGGGACCTACACCCACCCTGTGTGAGCTGCACCCAGTGCCAGCAGCTCTGCCTGATAACCCTTGGCACAAGTCCAGTTGAGGCAGGTCCCCCTGACAGCAGCAGGTTGTGCTTATCCAGGGCAAATCCAGGCATTCCAGCATCCACAGACGGAGCTGCCGCCACTCAGTGTCTATTAAAAGCATTCCAAGGCTTTATATTTAACTCAGTGATGGGAAAAATAGCTGAGGGGCATCTGGGGAGAGGGATTTATCCAGGAGTCTCCATCAGGGCAGGCAGAAATCTGGTGTCATTTGAGAAACAAAGTTTGCTGTGCCCCAGAGACAGCCTGACCTGCTTTGGGGTGAAAATTACCCTTTAAGGTCAACCAGCAGCATCTGTGTCCTGCCAGAGCAGCAGCACAGGATCACTGCTGCCCATGCCTGTTTGAAGGTGTCATGGTAAATCCCTGCTTGGGTGAAGCATAACAGCCGAGAGGGATATTGGCAGCACAAATCCAAGCACTTAAGTGTGGATGAAACCTCTGTCATCTCTTTAAACACTTTGGCCAGAAGGCAGCTCTTGGAAAAAGCAAAAGAAATGTGATGTCGGTTGAGAGACAAAGTTTGTTATGCCCTAGAGACAGTCTGCCCTGCTTTGGGGTGAAAATTATCCTTTTAGGTCAACTTCTGTGTCCTGTCAAAGTAGCAGCTCAGGGATGTGGCTGGGGAAGGAGAAGGGGAGCAGTGCATTCCTGGGTAGGGCCTCATTCTGGAGCAAATATCTCTCTCTGAGCCCCAGCAAAGTGGTTTTTAATCCTTTTTTTGATTGTTTCTCCATGGGAAGCCCAGAGGGGCTGTGATGTGGCCAAATATGGGATGAGCCACACTGGTCATTGGTCAGGAGGGATGTTTTAGCCAAAAGAGGTGCTCCAGAAGCTGGAGGAGAGGGTAGGGCTGGGTGCCCCACCTGGTTTGGGCTAAAAGGAGCAGCAGAGTGTACAAACAGTGGATGTTTGTGTGGCAGGTGAAAGGCTCTGCTCAAAGTAGGTCAGATCACAAGGGCCTGTGGAGCAGCAGCAGGAAGGGGCTCAGCCTGCCCGATCAGAGCCAGAGCCAGGCAGGGACCACAGTGGAGACTTAGCATCTCCCAGAAGGAATTAGTGAGCAAAAGAGCCTCAGGAGCAGAGCAGGATGGGGATACCAATTCAGGAAAGTCTAAGGACTGCAGAATTTGTGCTGGCTAAGAAGCCTTTGACCAAGGTGGGTGCCCAGTGCAGCACCCACTGGGGAGATGCAGGGATGAGGGAAAAGGAAGTTGCAAGAAAACATCCTGCAAAGCAGGGAGAACTGAGGGACCCCTCAAGGGTGATGTGAGAGGGAAGCCAGGCTTTTCTGCAGGGTGGGAATGAGGTTACCTCCCTGGGTGTGGGAGCATCCCTCCCTCTGCACAGCATTTGGCAAGCCACAACATCATCCAGAGACTGCAGCAGTGAGGAGACCTCTGGTCAGCATGGGGATGGTACGGGCTGGAGGCTGGAGACCCAGCAGAGCATCTCCCATATCTTTTCCAATACCTTCCCTTCTCCCTCTTCTCCCAAGCTTGATGACCCCACTCACAAGGACATAGAAATTAGCAGGCTCTTCTCCTCCTGATACAACCCTCATGACCCTCTCCCATTCTGCTTTTCTCCCAGGCTGGCTGAAGGACAGAAAGGGCTGAAAGTGGAGAACAAAGCCTTCTTCTCCAGACTGACTTTCTTCAACGTCTCTGAGCAGGACTATGGCAACTACACCTGTGTAGCTTCCAACCAGCTAGGGAACACCAACGCCAGCATGATCCTCTATGGTGAGTGGGGCTGAGGGAGACAGCCAGGGAGGGGGAAGGGCTTAACAGTGAGACATGGGAAGGGTCTCCCTTGTCTTTTTGGGGAGATGTGCTGATCCTTCCTGCCCTGGTGCATGGGTTGTAAGTTGTGGTGAGTGCAGGGACAGTGGAGAACCTCCAAACCTACCTCCTGATTCAGGTCCTGTGTCTCACATCATTCAGAGGTGTTTGGTGCTGAGTTTGGGATCCACCAGCTATGCAAAGTTAGGATTTGACTGCAGGTTTCCATTTTCTTGCTCTGATGAGTACCTCTGTGTGAAGGCATCCTCCTGTGTTGATGGGTGGGCAGAGAGGTGGTGCTCAGAGTCATTGCTGCCCCATCCCCACCTGAGAATGAACAGGCCTCTGGCTCTGTCACCTTCCAGGATGTGGATATATCCTTACTGATGGTGCCAGAGGGAGATGGGAAGGTGCAGAGGGCAGGGAGGGGGAGCAGGTTTGTACTCTTGTCCCAGGACTCTTTTCCTGCATGCTGGAGCTGGGATAAGAGCAATGCATCCATCTGATACTGCTCACAGCCAGGAAGGGCTGTGATTGCTCAATGTGTTTGTCAAGACTCTTTAGGTGGCAGAAGAGCCAGAGCAGGGGCTGTGCGCCCCAGATCCCTCTCATGGCCACTGGGAGCCAGAGATGGATGGCAAACCTTGTCCCTGGGCACTGCCATGGAGTATTTCCCTGCTGGGGATATGGCATGTGTGGTTCTCACTGCTGAACAATATGGGAAAAGACAGGACTAGGCATTTCCATCCTTTCCTGATGTCACCCCAGTGTTGTCCTCCCCCTTGCCACCCAGTTCTGCCTTGTCATCTCCTTGCCTCTTGCTGTATGGTTGGAGAGGGGAGGAGCAGAGGGGAAGATGAGCCTTCCTCATCCCCAGGGCCTTCATGGAGTGGCTCAGAGCAGAATGTGCTCTCAGCTACGCAAAGTGCCCTGGGGTAGTGAGCCATCCCACAGGAGTTGGGTTGCTGAGTGTGCTGGAGCAGTGGAGCATAGGAGGCATGTGGAGGCCTTGTGTCTTACCATCCTTGGGGAGGGGCTGGATGTGCTCCAGGGGAGCCCCAGGTCAGGGAAGCAGTTTGTTTGAGGAGAGCAGAGGATATTGGGCTTTGCAGGGCAGCATAGCAGGATAAGATCATCCTCCCTTGCCACTGGTATTGGCAGCTGTGTTTGGTTCCCCTGAGTTGTGACAGTTGTTCATCCCATCTTGGATGCTCAGCTCTGTGCCTGCAGCCCTGACATGGAGCTAACTTTGGATGTTAATGAGCCTAACACCCATTTGCTCCCCCCAAAAAAGTCTGTGATGTACATTTACCTGTGCTGAACCCTCATTAGCATTGCCTAGGAACGATCTCAGTTTTCTTCCCCACCACTCTTCCTGGTAATCCCTGTCCCCATGTTTTAGGGACACCAACACCTCTGGCACTGCAGAGCCACCCAAGCCTGGCTCCATCCATGCTGTAGGGTGGCTATGCTGAGCACCCAACATAGCCTGAGCCACACACACATCCTTAGTGTGATGTTGTCATCTTCCCATGGTGTTATGAGGTTTAAATCTTAATTAGTGTGAGCCTTCAGTTTGGCATCTGCAGACACAGGCTGGATGAACAGCCCGAAAGTAAAGATGACATCTCCCTGCTGATGAAACTCTTAGATCTTTGGTTTCTAACCCGTGAGTGATGTGAGGGACTCACGGTGTGATGGCAGTGTCAGGTGGGAGGCAAGGAAGCATCCTGCAAAGTCTAAGCTTACTTTATGACCCCCCTCTTTGCCTTGTAAGTCTGAATGACTGGGAGTGAAACCAGAGTCCTTTGACCACCCTTAATTTCTGTAAAGCCACATTGAGTTAATGATTCATTCAGACTTTTTTTAATTGAGTCCCTTTGTGGGGTGACAGCTCTCTGAGGGGACCATGACACACAGGGGACCTCACCTCCTGGTACAGGGCTCCCCAACATCCCCAGGGACAGACCCCCTAATTAGCAGTGATGTGCTGGCCCCATGCGTCATGGGGCCGAGCTCACTTGTCCCTAAGCAACCAGTGCCTTCGGTCTGGGGATTAATGAGTCTGTATTTATTGCAAGGAAAGATAAGAGAGAAGTGAGTGCAATGGCTGTGCGACCTGTGGCATGAGAAATGTCCCTTCTGTGAGGTTCTGGGGGACAATTCTGTGAGTGTTCCCTTTCCCCTGAAGCTGAGTGTGTGTTTCAAAGTGTTTTTCCCCCCGCAAATGGAGGTTTAATCCTTTGCAGGTACCATGACATGAGCCTTTTTTTTGGGGCTGTGCGAGAGGCTAATGTAGCATTCATCTTTTAATCCTTTTTTTAATCTAATTTTTCAGGGAGGTCAACTAGTGCTTTATTTAACATGTAGCACTCGTTATTACAGAGCTGCCGCCTCATTCAGCGGCTCATTGGGTGCTGTCTGGGATGTGATGGAGTGCTCAGGGAAACTGCAGCGTTCTGTGCACTTGGGGGGAAATAAAAACCCTCTGCTTCTCCCCCATCACACAGTCCGTGCTGCTCCCAGAGGCTGCTGTGGGGCAGTAAATCCATTTAGGATGTTGCAGATCCAGAGGGATATGCCCCAAATCCACAGGGGAGAGCTGAACCCCCCCAAGCCCAACCACAGACTTTGCCAGGTCTGAGGGCTCATCTCAGCTTCCCCCCCAGATGGGGGAACCATGGCCCCAGAGCAGTGGGGTGTGATTTGGGCAGCAGCATCCCACTTGCTTCCCCCCATCCTTTTGTTTTCCCAGCCCCAGGTCAGGGCAGGCTGAGGGAGGCGTCTCGAGCCTGCGCTTTCCATTGCCCTTTTTGCCTTAACTTTCACTTGTTCTTTAATTTTTAGAAGAGACAACTACCGCTCTGACACCCTGGAAAGGTCAGTAATTTGGGGCCCTCTGCAATGCCAGTGTTCTCCCTGCTCTGTTTTCCCCCAGGCCCACCCTAACTTATCTCAGTGGGAGCCACAGCACCCACTGTCTCGACCTCCTGCCCCACGACCCCACTGCTTTCACTGGAGTAGTGATGAATTAGGGCTTGCTCAGCTGCCCCCCATCCTGCCTCCTCCCCACCAGCCTCCTGTGCCTGTCTGGTGGTGGTCTGTGCCCTCTGCATGCCTGTCCCATCCTGCAGTCCCTGGCTCCCTCCCCATTGCTAGGGCACAAGCAGGGATGTCTCTGTGGTGGGTCTTGTGGCAGGTCCTTCCTCCTCTGGGATGCTTCTAGTGCTTTGGGTTTTTTTTCTGGGATGTGGTAGGGTTGGACAGGCATTTGGTTGTTTTCCTGGTGTTATTCCTGGTCAGGGCAGCTGGCACTCTGCTGTGCAATCTTATCATCTGAACAAGTTGGTGTCATCTTGATTTTTGGGGTGGCTTCATTTGTGATGCATTGAACCATGGCTTGTACATGTTGGGAAGGGTATGGGGGAGACCTGGATTTTGTGCCTGGATTTATGAGGTGTCTGAGTGTGCTGGAGAGCGTTACTGGTGGGAGACCAAATGTTCAGTGGTGCTCAGTGCCTTGGTCAGGCTTTGAAGCAAGGGGACATGTCCTGAGGTTTCAAAACCGTGGCTCGATCAGACCTTGTGGGCAGCCATGCTCTGGATGCCTTCCTGAGGTCTTTTTTCCACCCTAGTCTTTCCCTGGGCCAACTATTTGGGGGTGTTTTGCTGAAAGCCACTGGATCAGACACCTTCAACCTCCATTCCCATGGTGAGCTATGAACTCACTCTCTGATCCCCAAAGGTTTGAATAGTCTTGACTCTTCTTGACCACCCTCCTCATCCTATCTCCTTCTTGAGGTGATCTGGGCCCATGATGAGTCCCAGAGACACTGGAGAGGTGCAAAACACAAAGCCCTGAGTGTAGGGCTGCTGGTGGTGTCTCTGCTGGGTGGGAAGGGGTTACTGTGCCCCACTAAGGGAGACAAGTGGGGAACTAGGGTGGTTGCCCCAAGGTGGGCAGCGTGTGTTGGGCAGAAGCTCTCACCCCCCTACAAGTGTGGCTGGAAACCCGGACAAATTTGGAGGAGGCTGAAGGAGGCTGAGGGAGGTCAGATGGTGGTGATGGGCATGGGATGGAGACTGAGGGCTGAAAAGAGACCGCAGCAGGTCTTGTCCCAAAGACCAGGATTGGTTTGAATGGGGATGGCTGCGTCATGTCCTCAAGGACAACATGGGTGGATGGCAACACCAGGAGAGCTCTCGCACAGACCAATCCCACCACGTGCACCATGACCACCAGGGGCCCAAGTAGTGTTGATTCCGTCGGGTTTGCTCTTTATTTCATGTTGCCTTGTTGACTTCATGGCTAACCACGTGGGTGTTTGTCTCCCCTCCTGCAGGCCCTGGAGCAGTGCACGACGGGAACAACGGCGCGTGGCGGCGAAGCGGCTGCGTGTGGCTGCTGGTCCTC